ATGGGGCATCAACAACAGAAAAAAGAACAGGATCATAATGGCCAATATAGAGAATGGCAGTGAGATCTCTGAATTAATCTTCCATCTGAGCAGTATAAACTTTTCAAAGAACGTGTCACACCACAAAGTGAAAAGATGAACAGTTTCAGAGTTAAGGATTAGAAATGAATGGGAGCTGCAAAGCTCAGGCTTGGCCAAGTTCTGATGCCCCCAAAAGTTAGATACAGCATGAACATTAAAACAAGAATGTTTGGTTCACTCAATAATAAAGAAAGGGTAGCTATTTTCTCATGTCTTATTTGCAAACTGAAGTGCAAAATGAACTACATTTTGCAAACCTAGAAAATTCACAGAAGTTTTGTTGTGCACGTTCGGTCCAGATCCATCTTAAATTGGTCCTGTTTTCTTCCGTAGCACATCTGCTGCAGGGAGCCCATATACCTCTACCATTTAAATCCCCAGGAAATATTTTAATTCAGTGAGAAGAAATAGTTTCAAAGAAATCTTAGTAGCTGGTTAAGAATGAGCCATGAGGAATAGAAATATGGGAACAGCCAAAGCTGGAGAAAGAAGAATAGCACATGATGGTTATTAAATAGGGGAAGTCTCCACGTAAGTAGAGCCCAAAAATTCAAAAACAAAACAAAACCCAAACACAGCCATAAGACACAGTTGAACCTGTCTGAAAAATATCAGATAACTTCTTTCCCTCTTCCTTCATAAGAGTCAGATGGAAGTTTAGATCAGAAAATCATGTGCTCACAAACAGCTTTACTAATCTTTTTAAAAATATATATTGTCAGAAAATTTACTTTAAACATCAAGGGTCAGACAGTGGAGACAGAGGAGATATGGGAATATTAATCTAGTTATTTGCAGGGATTATTTGAAGTGGCTTGGCTTTATCCTCTCCAGCCTCTGTGCCAGCCACAGTACCCTGCTTAAGATGAGCGTTGCTTTGTGATTGATAGAGAAGGAAAATTTTCAGTCCTGCATTCACCCTCAGTCAGTAACAGCCCTGGGTAGCCAGGGCAGCTCACTGCTCATCATTTAGCTCTCTTGCAGTTTATCTCAAATAGCGAATGTGCAAGAACTAGAGATGACCTTGTCTGTGCTGGATTTCACCTTGCATGCAAGCTAACACAGTCAGAAACACCCTCACCCTTTTTTTGCTGATGAGGATAAACTGTCAGCAGTCATCCTCAACTCCTCAAGCAGCCGGATCTCCCGAAGATAGATGCCTGAGATTACAGGGAGAGTCCTTGCAGGAGGTTCCCAGCATACCACACGTTGCAGAGGCTTTCCCCAGTTGCCAAAGAGGGCAGGGCTGCCAGGGAGTGGGAGAAGGAGGCTTCATTTATGAGCTAGTTTTAGGTCACGCTTGGTTCCAATAAACATTCACTTGGCACAAGTCCCTGTTTTAAGGAATGTGAAAACCTGAGCTGGCAGGGCAGTGAGCAGGATGAGAAAGACATCATCTGAGTCGGGACAGTAAATGCCACCAACCGCCTGGTGCTGGATTTTGCAGGGAGGTGGGTAGCCAGATGTGAGCGTGGCACATAGTGGGCATTGTGTGTCATATAGAGAATGTGTGTCAAAATGAGAAATAGGGCTTGAGAGAGTCTGTGCAGAGAGACCTTATGCAGGAGAAGAAGTAGTGAGGGGAAAGGAGGAAGGGGTAGGAAACCCTGTTGAAAAATGGGGGCAAAGCACAGAGTACATGAAGGCAGCCCACATTGCCCCATCACCTGAAGGAGCAGAGACCTTCAATGCTGCCAGCCACAAACATTGAAGAAAGACATCAGCATGTATTTGTGTGTGTAGGGGAAGGGAGCAGCTGAGGGTTCAGGATTCCTGTTGGCTTGGAGGCCGCACTGCTCTGACAATTAGAAACAGAGGATGTTTCTCAGTGAGAGTCTGATATTTCTCAGAGGTGAGGCTATTACTAGAAGTTAATAAGCTAAAAATACAGTTGGTAGATCTGGCAGAGAACTGAAACATGCTTTTAAAATTATTATTATTTTTTTTCCCCCAGGAGAGAACTGTGCATCTTCATACCTACAGAGAATACATGCAGAGAGCTTCATCCTGTCTTAGTCCAGCAGCTTTTATGCATCTGTGCATATTGCCTGCTCCAAAGACCACATACATCCATACCTTCAGGCAGCAATCCAAACAGCTGAGAATGAACAGGATTTCTTTACAAGCCTCAGCCAACACGTGAACCTGTTCACCACCATTCCTGTCATGGACTCCATCCTTTCCTCACCCTCCCGTGGCATCCCAGGTAGGGAACTTGCAGAGATTGGAATCACCCTTCGGAAGCTGAAAAAACAGTAAAAGTTGTGCAGGATTTTTCACAAGCCTGTTCAACATCCTTCTGCCATCAGTCCAGTCTTCTTCTTCCTCCTTAATTCAGGCAGATAAAGCTGGGTTTTTCTGGTTTCACTGTTGTGTGCTTGGCACTTTTGCATATATCGGTCACGGCTCAGATCACTTGTTCATATCAGCTTTTATTTTTATGAAATATAAATCATGTGGCACGTGATGGAAAAGCTCAAGATGCAGAAAGGAAATTTGAAGAACCTAAACTTAAGTGGCCTAAGTTGCCATTTATGCAACAGGTCAATAGTGTCTTTTGCAACTGGTCAAAGCAGTTAGTACTGCGATAGTCTATTCAAAGCAGTCTCAGTTCCTCATCTCCTACAAAGTCCTACAGCATTCTCTATATGGGGCGCAGTGCCTACCACTTTTAGATGCAGCAGGAAGGGAAAGACCTTTGGGTCTGAAGCAAAACAACACAGAAGGAAAATATTATTTGAAATTACCTGTTTCTGTGGTCCTAAAGTTTTCTACTGGCCATATCTGCAGCCACATCTTTATGCAGACGGCATCGCTGCTCTCTAGAAAGTCCCATAGTCAGTTATTTCACCTATTTGCAGAGTTACCTGAGTTTCAGTTACAACTTGAGCAAGAGACCTTTACACAGGTGTGCAGCTCTCCATGAGGGCTGCTGTGACTCAGGAGTTATTGGAGGGGCTTGGCCAAGCAAGGGCAGAGGCTGCATGCCTGCACTGTCCTTCCACCCCCATCTCTCTCCAGCTGCTGCTGCAGTTGGCAGGCATTTGCAGTTCACAGCAAGTAGCAGAGAACCCAGTCTTTGCTATTGTTGCCTAATTTAGGCAGACACTGATTCTCTTTATATTTCTTTAGATCTAGGTATTATTATAGCTTTCAGCAACATACACACACAGGAAAAAAAAACAAAACACAAAACCAGACCACTTCCATACACAGTCCCTGTGGTCTATATCTATGTCTCACAAAGAAGTGCTGAAGACTAATTTCCTTACAGAAATTGCTAAGAGTTCAGGCTCTCCAAGACAGTCACCACACCACTGAACCAGTAGAGTGGCTGATCCATGGGGATTTTCCTTTTTGAAAGCACACTTACACAGCAAAACCCCTCTGTGTTGCAGGGACCTATGTCTCCTTTAAGCTGTTCACCCTCATAGCCACCTCTTCTTCCCCCATTTACCTTAGCAAGGGATTGTTCAGCTGCAGAATCTGTATCACTGTACCTCACAGTGCTTTGCACTCACATCTTCAGGATGGGGCTACAGGACTTGAAAGCCTGCTTTTGCACTGCCCCCGATATCCCAGATACAGACCTTCATAATATCCCGTTCCCAAAAACACCATCTTGAACACACAAAGAAATTCACTTCTATTTATTTTTAATTAGTATTTTTGTGAATACACAAATCCAAAGAATTAAGGCAGCTGGCAAGTGTCAGGACCTGAGCCAGTATACCTTTGGAAGAGGCTTCAACTTAAAACGCTCTGTACAGGAGCATGTTTCTCATGACACATGTAACTGCTGAAGTGTTTGCTAGGAAAGACACCGGATTAGTCTGGGCCAAAATAAACAGCCTGTATCGAATTGGGTGAGAGCTGCAACTGCTGATACAAGGACTAGATTTGGTTGAGTTAGCTGTTTGCTTGCATTTTTCACAAAAGTTATTTGTTGCCCTTATTTGCTGTTTGTCCTACATGATCTGGTGATGTTGAAGCAGAGTACTCGGGGAACGTTACTATATACATGCAGAGAGCTGAAGCAAGAAGGATACTAACCTAGGGGCATGGGACAACCACTTCCACAAAGCCAACTGCTGCACAGGACCTCATATTCTGCAAGAAGTTTAGCCTGTAGAAGTGTAAAATCTTGTGAGAAGTACATGGATGACTTCTCAAGGAGTCAGTTGTTAGCAAAAGGAGTTTTTTCTGGGCTGACCCTTCTGAAGGCAGAAGCCAGGCAGTAGGTTCATCAGTGAGAGGAGGTAGACTTGGATATAGGCAGCACATTGCTGAAGAGTGAGCTAGCCTTTTGTTGGGCTTGACTAGCAACAGACTTTTTATCTGTGACATGTCTTTGCTGCTGACACACTTAAACTCTTAGAGAATATGCATTATTCTGAGGCAAGAGGTGACAGAGACCAGGAACAGAAGTTGAACAATAAAATATATTAGAGAGGTCTGCAGTCTTCTCTCTTGCAGTATTCATCTTTATTGGTCACAGGAGGTTACAGTTTTGCTCACATAGCCCCTGCTGGAGCCTTTAGCATTATGGTTTACATTCAGCCTGGTTTTAGATAGACGTTTTTCTGAAGCGAGCATATATGGGCATTTTCCTTGCTGATGTCACCACAGAACAAATCAGAACACTAATATTATGCTCCAAGGATTTCTTGTACAGCCGAAGAAGGATTGTGTCTCAGCCAGGAGGCATTAAGGCTGAAGAAAAAGGGGCAAAGAAGGGACAAGATTATTTCCTGGAGTCATCAGCTCAGTGTGTCAAGTTTTTGGAGGAGCAAAAGTATATATGGGAGAGGTAGTGGGAAAACTTCAAATCCTCCATGGCTCAAGGAGGATGGAGCAAGGGAGAGGAATGAATGCAGCTTCACATGGTGCTTCAGGACAGCGCTGAGGACACTGGGCCTTCAGTATTCAATTCTGCTCCAGAAGAACATGGTACCAAGGAGGACGCAGAACTGAAACAACAAGACTATTAAGTTTCTCTGCTCTCCATTTTCTTCTCCCCACCTCTCCCCCAGCCCCATTTAGTCCTACTGGTAGGAGAGAGCAACAGAGATTCTTCATAAGCAAAGTACTTTCAGGCAGAGGAAGCTTTTTATCTACACAGAAGCTTCACAGTGAAGCATGAAAACATGTGCAGCCCTCGCTATTTGACTGGATCACTCTGCTCACTAGGGATTATCTGTCACGAGGCTTCTGTACCCAGAGCACTTAACACATTCATACAAAGTCTTCAAACTAGAAATGGAATTCTCTGTTGTGGTTATTGCTTAGGTGATCCAAACCCCTTCACAAACAAGTCTCTGCAAGCTGCATTGGCTGTGTTGTACTGCTGAGATGGCAGCAGGCCACAGAAGGCTGGAAAGCCATCTAGCTCCATGCCTGTGGAAGCCAGAATGGAGGGAATCTTGCACGTGCAGCCCTGTTAGTGGAACCTGTTACAGGCAGATTGGTATTTAATGGATAACTATAATTTACAGACATTTTAAATGTGTTCGTTTATCCACCTCCACCCAACTGGGTGTGGAATATCAAGAAAGAGAAGAGGAAATAAAGGCAAATATGAACCATTCTATGATTCTATGATTAAGTAAGTACTTACAGTCCAGCAGAGGATGGCAAAACCAAACCAGGCAACACCCCAGGCATGTGTGATCATTGGCCCAGAAATAGCATCATAACAACCCTGTAAGACAACCATGCATGAATCAACACCATCTTTGAGCTTGTGCTGCAAGACAACAAGCTTATCCATGTCTGAGAGAGGCACGCTCTTCTCCTATTGCAACTTGGGTAACTCACAGCATCTCAAGAAGACAAGCCTGAGCTATGCTGATTGTTGATTACTTGCAGATACCCTACCTGTTTCTAGCTCCAAATACACTTTGAGGACAACTTTGCCATCATCCTGCCAAGTATACACATATAACCAAACACAGCCAATGTAGAGTTGTCCCCCAGAGTCAAGAGGTCGCAGGCAAATTTGGAAGCTTGAACAGTTTCTAGAAATGCTTGCTGGTGCAGAAGTTGATGCTCATGACCCAGCAACATGTTTGAATAGGACAAGATGGTCTACTGAAAAGTTCTACACTGACAAGGAAAATTGCTGATACTCTAACTCATATTGTATGCACACATCTTTGGGCTAAGCTTGATTTTACTACTGCCTATCTACATGTTGGAGCTGTCACTGCTACTGGTGGCATTAGGAAAGTTTTTTTAATAGTTCTCTCTCCATCTGGAAAGTTTTTATTACAACCTATCCCATGTTCAGCCAAATGGCCAGGACTCTGCAGGCATTGCTTCTCTTCCCCAAAGCTTACTGCAGCTGACAGTGGAGGAAGAAGACTATTCCCTGTTTCCTTCCCTTCCAGTGAGGTGCTTTTTGAGCAACACTGGGAAAAACTGAGAGGATATTAACTTACTTTGTCATAATAGTAGCCAGGGACTCCAAGCTTGCAGGCATTGAGGTTGACAGGAGACCTTTGTGAATCCATGACACAGCACTCGTGTGGCCAAGGGAAGTCAGCATCGCTGTGCGTCATGCGGAAGGTGGACGTGTAGTTCTGCCAGTCAGAGGGGCCCTGCACCCCACAGCACTGGTTCTGTGAGGCAAGAGGAGGGGATGGTCCTTATGGGCCCAGGTCACAGCCCTGCACACGGCTGGGTGCTGCACGTGGCTGGTTAGGCATTAACCACAGATTTATGGGAGAGATTCTTGAAGTGCCTGCCTCTGACAGCCTCCCCTCTGATAAACGGGCGAAGCGGCGAGGGTGGCAGACCTTTCTCTCAGGGTCAAGGCAGATGCCGTCCTCTTTATTGCTGAGTGGCCCCAAGGAGGACTTGAAATTCCAGGGCTGCAGAGCATTTAGTAATTAGTGAGAGTTTGCAGTGTTATTATTACCTGAAGCATGAGTTTATTCCATGTGTTTGTGACCCCTTCGGTTATCCGTTTGTCATTGTCACTGTTTGCCTCAGGACTCTGATACCTCTGCAGCATTTGCTTCAGGAAGAGATTCGGAGTGAGCTACAGGAAAAAAAACCAACAACACAACAGAGAAGAATGCAGAAACTATGTAAATAACTGGCCATGTAGAGCAAATATAGGGTTATTTAGGGTGGGTTTGTTTGCTGGTTTCACTGTCCTGCTAGAGAACAGGAATGCTACATCTCCCACAGTTTTTCACACAGGAGATTAAAGAGCAGGAGTTGAGAAACACGAGCAACAAGGATGAAGAACTTGAGCACGACTCTTAAGCAGGCTCTACCAAATGTAAGATCACAGGAGATGTGCAGAAGAGATGGGTTACATTTGATGTGTTGCTTAGAACTAATGCACCACAAGTCATTCCCCACCACCACCATCTCAAATAACCCACGTAATCTTTCCCTCACTAGCAACACTGCCTGGGCAAAGCTGAAGATTTGTCTTCTGCATGTATGGTGGATTAATCAGTCTGTAGATGAAAGACTGAACTCTGTATTGATGATTCAGCTACCCCACACTACTATTTCCTTAGCTACAAGGTTGTAAACATTCTTCGATGTTAAAATAACTATTATGTTAAAAATACCAAAGTTATTTCCTTGATTAGAATAATGACATTGGAGACTTTCCTTGTCGGGTCTTGTTCTAACTCAGCAGCAGTCTTTGAGTTTGCACTGTACCACCACACAGGCCATTTTCTACACTGAAGAGGATAGCCGGGTGCCCTAGAACTGCAACGTTTCCCAACACAGGTGCAAGAATACTGGAGGAAAGAAATACTCACGAAGTCTCGGTGAGTGGCTGCCGTGATGCAAGAAGCCATTTCAAAAGCATATGTGATCAGCATGAGAATAATATACTGTGGGAGATGGACAGCACAGTTAGCTCTTGGAGAAAACAGCAAAGCAGTTTTTTTCAAGATTTAGCCTGCAACCCTGCTCAAGGGAAAGGAGGCCAGGCTGTCCTAGATTCCTCAGTCCTCTCCATGGCCCTGAACATTCATGTAGTCCTTCCCGGTGCTTGTTTCAGTTTGCAATCTGCTTTCTTGACTGGAATTGTTCTCCACTTCACAGAAAAAAAATAATCAGAACTTCATGGCATTAATGCCACCCTGCTTCTACAGAAAATACTTTGCCTGGTATGTCCTAGAGTAACATTTGCCCTTTTCTTTGTTACATCTCATTGGCATCTTATGTTTGTGCCGTGTCTCCTCCTTCTGCTTCCACTTAACAGCTATGAGCTTTTCTCCAAGAAGTGTTCACTTCTAGCCGAGACCTTGTACTTTGCAGAAACAGAAAGGGTGGCTTAGGATGCCATTCAGATCCTCCTGATTTTGCATCATCAGACATCCTCAGCTTTCCTACTCTGTGAGCAAAGACCCTTCACGAAAACAGATCCTGAGGATCACCTCTCTTAGTTAATTTCACTGTTTCTCTCCCCTTCTCAGCACAATCCCTTTGATCTTTCCCGTATTCCCTTTGTAGTTCTTTTGTTTCTATTTCTCCTCCCATGTTTTATAATGTTCTCAGATTCGAGGTATTTGTTTCCTTCTTACCCAGCTTCTGCCCCTTGTACCCTCTCTTTCATATACCACAGCATTAGTTTTCAGCCAGGACACCAAAATTCAGTTAGGGGAATTCTCTGCTGTCAGAAGTTTGCTGGAAAATTCCTTGGCACAAGAGTGCAGATCTCTAAGTTTCTGTTGCTTAAAACAGACACTCTGCCATCTCACATGAATCCAGGAAAGAGACAATTACAGAGTTTTTGCCTCTACCCTTTGTTAATGCAAACACCAATTAAGTTTCACCACTGCCTGATTGAAGGACTAAGTAAGAAAATGCACAGATTTGTTCACATTGTCCTTGGCTTATCCAAAGCTCTTGGTCCCCACCCCTGTAATTTCTGCCTGCCTGCTGATGTCTCATGTTCTCAATTGCACCCGTATTTGGTACACTAACACATACTAATCCCTTGTACAGAAGTCATTACTTATCAGCTCCTAAACTGAATGGTATATGACAGCTGAAAGGCAGTAAGGGGTGGGGAAAAACAAGGGTCTAAACCACATCCCAGCTACATCTGATTGCACAAGTGCTTCTGCATTGCTTCAGGGCAAGGTCAGGGTCAAGCCACTCAGCTTAAACCTCCATTGTGGCTATCATCATTAATTCCCTCAGCCTGGTTTGCATGTGTCCTCCCTCACAAGAGTCACCTTGTGGGCCATCACAGCCATGGTCAAGAATAACCTTTGGCTCTTTGTCCCTGATAAAATGGTCTTGGCTCAGTGGTTGATTACCAAGGTGAGCAGGGCAACTCAAGAAGCATTTTTTTCAGTTTGGCAGCAATGTGTGGGCAAACCTTGCTACACTTACCACCATCAGCAAGGTCCTGTTGCACTTTATGACTCCAATGATACCAAGGATAGACAGGGCAAGGAGTGCAAAGCCAACAAAGATGCCGATCCAAGCAGCAGCATAGATGTCGTTGTTTTTTGTGGCTTCCAGCAGAGGATAGAGACCATTGGGATCAGACACAAAGAAGATGCACTCTGCTGTCAGGGCAATGCCACACATCTGAGAAGCACAAGTTTGGGAAATCCATTGTATCATGCTTCCCCAAAGAAACAACAGAGACAGAAAATGACAGAGACTGTTTTCCTTTGAGTTAACTTCCTGCCAAACAGGGACTACTGAACTTCTCCTCCCCCTAACTCTACGATCTCTTGTGCCTTCACAGAATAATTGCAGGCAAAACTCACCCAGCCCAGATCTGAGGAGTCAGGCCTGAGACGTGAGGAGGTTAAGAAATAATTACAGAACCTTTCCCATCACCATATGGAGGGAGCTGGCTGGAATGAAGTTGGTCAGCAGCAAAGGCTCTTCCCCTTGAATTCAGGTTGGTCTTGTGGATCAGCCCCTGCTGTACCTTGCTGTCCCTTCCCCACCCAACAGCACAGTTCTTCTCTACCCCTCCTTTTATGCTTTACTGGTCTATTTATGTGTGAACTTCACACATGAAGTGGGATTTCATGGTTGGGACCTGCTATTTCAAGAAGCATCATGTTGGAAGGAAGCCTCCACCCATACTCATCCCACTACACTTACCCCAATGATGACATTCCCAAAAACTAATAGACCCTGCAAGATGTGTATCCCATCACTGTTTTTTGCCATCTTTAATTCTTCATGCAACCTGGGAAAAAAATAAAAACAGTTTTCAGTTAGACCAGTACAATAGGCTTCCATGAGAAATATAAATTATACCTGAGGAGAAGAATAGACAGAACCTGCCAGCCTGTCTGGACACCTCCCATTGCGTGATTCACAGAAGTTTCAGAGGAGAAACTTCACCAGGTGTGAGCCTAGTAACTCAAACTGTCCTTGATACTTGAGCTACAGAAGACTGGGACCACTCTGGGTGCAGCCAGTGCCTTCAACTTCCTGTTGGGTAGGGCTTTCATCATCACAACAGTATGCATGCAAACCTCAGTTAATGGTGTTGCATTTCCACCTGGCTAGAAACACCAGCTACACTTGCATGGACAGGGGACTAGTTCAGTGCCCCCAACTTGCTTTGCTTTCAAGGGAGCCAGCTTTATCTCAGCGTACGCTAGCCACCCCACTGAACCTTTCCTCTTGGACAGCATGGCCATGGGACTGAACTGGTAGCTGTGGTTCTTTATCTGCATCCCACACACATGTATAGCTCACAGCTTGGCAGCACCTTGCCAAGGGTAGCCCCACCTCACCCCCATGCCAGGATCTGGATCTGGGCCTCCCCTTCCTGGTCAGGTGCAAGGAAGGGAGGGGACTGCTCAGCCTGCAGCTGGCTCATGGGATCCAGGCCAAGTAGCATTCCCACCAGATTCCAGAGAGTGCTGTATCCTGCAGGCTGGGGCCCGGCACCCCGCATCGAATTCATCCCCTTCCAGAGAGAGCAGCATAAAGCCACCAGCCAGAGATGTGAGACCTCTTGGAGAAAAAAGCCCAGATGCCAGTGCCAAGGAAGTGCTTCTTTCAAAAGGACAGAGCACGTGTAGGCGTGGAGAGAAGGTGGAAAAAGCAACCAATGCCGAGCTGTGTGTTGGTGGGTGGTTAAGAACATACAAGCTGTGAAAGAAAGGCTGAAGTGGGCCCGACTTGAGCAGAAAACAGGAAAAGCAGCTTGAACACCCCTCTTCTACTAGAGTACCTGCACTGGTGCCTTCTCTTGTTGGCGTTATTGACTCTGGGATCCTTCGAAGAAGCTGTTGGAAAATCAAAACAGAGCTAACTCAATGTCAAGGAAAGGGACTTTCATGAGGAACAGAGCATTGTGGGACATCTCTAATAGTGCCACCCTCAGTGGCAGCCCTTTTAGGTTAGGCAGGACTTCCAATAGTGACAGAGGGAAAATCAGAATTTCCTACCACCCTTTCTGCAGTGGTTTGAGGGTCAGGTATGAAGAGATCTCCAGTACTCTCACGATTATATCAGCAGCAGAGCACATAAGTATTTTGCAAGATAGGGTGAGTGGGGTTGATCATTATTTCTAAGGTAAGAACCTGTTTTTATCCCCAGCCAGGGTGCTGGAGGCCAGAACAAGACACCCGAAGCTATAGGGCTCTGTACTTGGAAATGGCAGGCTCTGCCCCTAAAGCTCTGCCCCTACCAAACTTGTTGACCAACCAGCATGCCCAGGGGCCACAATATCCTGCCTTGCAGATCAGATCTGGGTCTGGGCAATGGTTGGCTACATGTGGTCTGCAATCCAACACTGCAGAGTCTGCCAAACTTGAGATGGACACTGGTCCTCTACTCATCAGAAAGGCATTAGAGACTTGATCATAGATCTTTGTGCTGCAAACTCCAGAGCTTTTCAGAAAGCCTTTGATGATTGCTAAGAGACACCACAAGTCAGAGAGCAGTCCAGAAAACAAGGAAAGCTCACCTGCTCATATGCAGGCACATGAACTCTGACTCTTAACATGGAAAAGCAGGTCTGCTCCAGCTGCCGTGTAGATAGCTGGGTTGAGTGTGCCATGTGGCTAGCATGGCAGATCACATCAATTATGGTTAACAAAGTCACAATCCTTTCCCTAACACTGCAGGAAACTCTTTTTCCTTTCCTTTCTCTCCTACAGACCTCCTTGCAGTATAATGGCAGCACTCCTCCCTTATAAGTGGGCTATCCATACAGCCCACATGCTTGCTTCCCCATCAAGTGGTTTTCTCTTCCCCTCTAACAAACAGGACCTAGCTTGATTTTGCCTCTCTTTGGGCAGGTACTACTGTGGGCATGTCAGCCTGAGAAAGCAAGCCTCTTCTCCTGGGGCAGGCCCATCTCCTAGGCTACTGTAGCTGGGAGAAAAGCTGGACACAGTCATCACCACACTGATATGAGCTGGAGTCCAGTGGCAAACTTCTAGGCCACTTAAGGCTCTCCAGTCCAATAGGACTGCAGAATGGGGGGAAGAACTGGGAAGAGGAAAAGGGAAGGAAGAGCCTTTACTGTAGACCTATGAATGAACAAGTGTCATGATGTTGATATATGGATATGAATTCTCCCTCTCCCTCCAAGTGATTGTCACTGAGGGAGTCTGTTTCTGGGACTCCACTTTGTTCCCCTCTGCCACATGTGGCATCCCCTTGTCTGGTCCCTTCTCTGTCATAGACGGTCTAGGATTAGCATCATGGATGAAAGACTGAGGAGGTGCTCCAAGGCTTTGACAACACCTAGGCAGCTGTAGAGCTGACCCTCCAACATAGCCCAGAAGAGAAGCTGGGGAGCACTGGGGCTTTCCTCCTGCTGCCTGCTCCCCAGGCCTCAGAAGTGAGCTGCACTGAGCCAGAGCAACTTGCACAGCACTTGGTGCAGGTGCATGACTACAGAGGCATGAGGCAGACCTTGGCCAGCCTGCTGGAGACAAGCTGTGTACAGGTATGACTCATGGCCACGCTTGGGTGTGACACGGGTAGGCAGCCCTCCTCCCAGGGCCCAGAGAGACAAGTGCCAGCAGCCCCTGCTTACAGACACAAATAATGTGGATGTAGAGGAGCCCTTCTTCATGGTATAGTTATGATTAGCTGTATGACCCAAATCCTGGGGCTTCAGGGAAAACCTTGAGGAAACTGAACTTCAGCTGCAACTGTTATCCAAAATCTCCACACCAGAAGGTGGCCAAGTCCTGGGATTTCAGTATTCAGCTTGCACGAACCTGGTGTTTTTCAGTACTTCTTGGATACTTTACAATTTAGTCTTGACCTGTCTAGGTCTCAGATATTCAATTATCAGTACCACAGGCTTTTCTCTCTGCTCCAAGCAGTTTTGGAAATGTGCCTGTTGCCTCCGTTGTTCCACAACAGCCTAAATCCCTCCCACATCGCATCCTTCTTCCTCTTCCTTATGCCATGGTCACAGCCCAACTTCTCCCCTCCCCTCTCACCTCAAACTCCCACAATGCTGCTGATGCTCATGAGGGTCCAGAAACACTGGTAGTCCTGCCTCGTCCTACTCCTCCACAAGTTGCAGATGGACCTGTTATCTCCATGTCCTAGGAGTTTTCTTGACCTCTCCTCCATCCCACTACTCTCAGTGAATCTGAGACCTGCAGCACAACTGTGGAAGCTGAAAAGAGCTCCTTTCTGCAGAGGCTGGTTTCTGCCCTTGTATTTTAGTGCCAAGCCCAAGCAGGCTTTCAAAGGAAGCTGTGCTCACAGCAATTCCTGGATTCAAGCAGGATTCAGTCTCTGTTGTGCATCCCTCACACACACTGGGTAGTTGATCCTTTGAAGCCTTCACACTCTCTTTCTATAGATTGGAACAGGATTTCAGTATCCTTACAGATGAATGCTCTCTGTTTAGCCTAGTCCTTCACCATCTCTAGCCAGACAATCCAATGAGTAAGAATTGGTTTGGCATTGCCCCATGCAGGTGCAGGTCACATTTTGATTGCCTTGCCTTTTGTGCCAGTTTTCCTGGTGGAGTCACGGCACTTGTGACCAAGGGATGTTCAAACGCACCTCTGTGAGCATCATTTGTCTCTACACCTTGCTCTTGGAGGTCTCTCGGAGCAGTGGCTGGGCTTAGAGGGGCTTTACCTCCCCCCCTCCCTACCCTGCTTTGCTTCAGTGTCCCCGTGCAGGGCGTTGCACTCTCATCCCCCTGCGCAAGGAGGAAGAGACAAAGGACGTGTTTATTTTATTGCTCACGGGCTCCACGTGCTTTGGCTGGAGGATTCTGCTCCACTCGAGCGCAACTGAACAAACTCGGCCGCTCAACGGCAGAAACATGGTCCTTCCTGGGAAACGCCTCAGGTGCAGGAGCCCTGGCACCACACCTTCTGCCCCTCAGCTTCACCAGCCCCAGCTGGAGAGCATGTCTCCACAGGCTGGAGCAAGATGCCTGGGTTGGGGCACTGCTAGGGGGGAAGCCACTGGGCTGGAACCACTGCCGGAGGTGCCAGAGCGGATGCTGATGCTGTGGGAAGCCTCCGTGAGCACAGACCTGCCCACACCCTGACCTGCTGTGGGCTCTGATGCATCCAGGCTTGAGGGGCCAGAGAGCAGTAAAGCTACTATTATTTTTATTTTCAATTGGTTTAGTGAAAAATTTGGCCCTTGAAGGGCTTAAAAAGCAGGTAGTTTCCAAGTGCTTGGGACATCTTCAGAGTTGTAGTTTTTAAGAGGATTCAGTTAAATACATTATTGATAAACTGTTTGGACTCTGATGTAAGAAGCTGAAGGCTTTACAATTTATCATTTGTTTACATATTTCAAAGCAAACACCTCCAGTGCACACAAAACCACATGCTCCTTCTGCCCTGCCAGACTTCCCCCATTGCTTCACTTGTCCTGAAATGCATCCACCTCTGACAGAGAACAGTTTGTGCCCCAGGAATCAGCCACACTCAGAAAAGGAAAACCCAGCCTGTTATTTTGTGCTACCAAAGGAGAAAAAATAAAACCCAAAGAATCAAGTGTGGGACAGAGACTAATTGATTTTTCTGGTGAGACATTGCTATGAAATTAAGCCTGTGTGAACAGTGGAGTGGCTGGTAACTCATCAGCAGGCGCAATTACCTTGGAAATAGAGCTGGGAGGTAGGTTTTTCCTCTCTCCCTCATTAGTTCAGCACAGCCAAAACAATAGGATTTTTTTTTTTTTTTTGCCTTTCCGCTTTTCAAAGTGAAGGGGAATTACAGACT